TGACACGGATCACAGGAACATATTGTATACGTCACGAGGCCGACTTGGCGGTTGTGTAGGGGAAATTCTTGGGAAATTCGAATGTAAAAAATACTCCAAAGTTAGCGACACTCAAAAGGCCGGGGCAATCAATTTTCTCATTAAAAACTTTTCGCGTGTATAGCCCATATCGTTAAAATGTTAAAACCGTGTATGTACACAATGCAGGTTTTTATCCTTTCTCTCCGAGTTTTCCCCTCTGACAAAAATCCGTCTAGTGTATGATATTATACTAAATGAAGTACAATCGACACGACCATAATGATAATAATAATTAAAGACTTTTTATTAATTAATTAATTATCGTCCCGGCAAACGCTGCATTGTTGTTGGTTTTCCTCTTATTCGAACGTACATTTTGTTACATTATTTGGACGGCGTGCGTTTGTGTGTGTGTATAATGCAAACCTTATTATGCATTGTTTGCCATCAGAATAATATATGGAGCACAACGCGCGTTCGTGTACACACTCATACTAATATAATATACATATATCTCCGGCATAGAGCACAGGTGTAATGAGTGCATTTTTTTTTAAATATAAATTTACAGGAATGACGTTTGAAAATGTTTGTAATGTAATTTTTTTTTTATAAAAACTTGATTTATTAGCTTCCAATTAATGTGTAGAAAGTTCAGCGTGCGTAGAAAGTTATTAGCCATTAGACATATATATATTGTTATACGATAAACTCTAATTAAAAAAGAAAAAAGGCACTTATGCTTACCATTTATGGCGGAGTGTGACCAGTCTGGGTACAGCATTTTCGGTAGCCTAACCAAACTTATTATAAACTGTTGTTTAAGACACGTTTTTTAAAATACAATATCATGTTCAAAATCACTATTTTTTTTTTCTGTTTAACCAAAAACAAAAGTTTGAAAATAGCGAAAAATTAGTTTCTTTTACAATTAGAGGTTGATTTTAAGATGACTTGTTGCGCGATCCTATAAAATCGGCTTATTTTGGATTTGTTTTACGCATTATACAATATTTTGTGTTTATTGTACCTTGTTTTTGTTGAAAATGAGTTATTATTTAATAATGGTTACCAGTGTTATTTCCTTGGAGATCCAACTCTAACCAAATATTGTTGTGTCGCTTGGATGAAGTTTTATTTGTCGGTCTGATTTTAGTTCACAATCCGACCCTGTGTTTACTATTGCACATGATATTATTATTAACGTCAATATTTATCTAAGTATCGACTTCTTCCCGGGGTCATTTTACCCAAAGACGAAATCCGTCTTTCGTCATCTATAATATTTTTTTTTTTTTTGATCTCTGTTTTGTTGCCCGACAGATTCCCCAGCAACACATTTTTATAATAATATTTTATTATATTTTGCTTAGTGTAGTAACTATGCCTAAAAGACTTGTTATTACTATTGCACGGTGGGCGCGGGGCCCCGCAGAATATGTAATATATACATTTCTGCGGTCTTTATAGATAACGTCGTACGCGTCGAACGCAGCAATGCCCGACGGTAGTGCGGTGCAGTACGGCGCGGTGCGGAATTCCATTGCAAACTATGCGGCTGCGGTAGATTGTTATAACGGAACACCGTTGTCGGCCTCTCCTCTCGACATGTGTGCTGGGTACGTGCCGTTTTCCGGTGTACGGAGGTCCGGAAATTTTCCTGGCACCATACACGGCATATAGAAGTGTTGGATAGTTTGTATGTGTGTGTATACGGAATCACTCTAAATTGCTGCACTCGGCGACAGTCGTGTCATCACAAAACAAAACCTATAATATTATTATAATATTCCGGTCGAATTGATAAGATAACTTAATGTCTGGCCGATAACAGCAACTAGGCGCTACATTTTCTATGATAATTCAGGAATACAGTTTACTTTGGTAAATAGAGTGTATTTTTAAGTATATCTAATTAGAGTTAACAACCTGGTCGACATTCAGAATTTGTTTTTTAATTAAGTATTTTTCTATATTAAAAAAGCATGAATTAGGCTACCATGATTAAAAATTAGTCACTGGATTGTCAGAAGTTTATTTTTCTATGTGTTCTATGACTGCAGTGCACTTGTAATGGTGTGTCAGTGTTGACTATGTCATTTATGTCCACTTCGACCCGCCTGTATGCGTATTATAAAATATTTGTATTTACCATTCAAGGTTATTTCTGTGGTTTTAACCTGAAATGGTCTTTAAATTTAAGGCTGTCTAACGTGATTTGTTTTGTAAAATACACTACACTAAACTTATGGTTGTAATTGACTTTGAATTTGTATGTGGTTAGGTTATGACTTTTGTGTGAAATAATGAGAAACAAGTGTTCAAGTTATTTTTATAAAATAATAGAGAAGCAAAATACAATTTTTAGAATCTCCTTAAAAAAATTAATGAAAAGTTGTAAGACAAGCACAGGTATAAATAACACAGGTATATTGAAGGTATAAAAAACAAAATAATATATATGATAAAAAAAAACTCGTTTTGAACAAATTGTCTCTTGAACCCTTTTGGTTCTCATCACTTTATACATTTTACCAATACTAATTAATTCGTTCTCATTTAAACAAGTTTTTTAATTTTTTTAATTTAAGGCTGGTATATGTTGTGCAACAAAGTAGTATGCGATGTTGGGGTTTAGGTAGACGAATTAAATTTAATAAAATAATTTAGCATACATTTCCGTTTTATTTTTTTTTTCGGCGTTTTTGTTATTGTCGTCGGTGAAATAGTATTTTTATTTTTATTATTATACCTAATAGGAATTCGGTTGGTCGGTCGAAACATACGCGTGAGAATATTATGTAAAAATACGTTGTATATTTGAATGTACTCATTTACTTTTCTTGTTAATTTTTTTCAAGGCAAGACGAGACGAAATAACAAGAGTTTTTTCCTTCATGAAACGGTTTTAATAATTGTTTATTTTGTTTTCTACCTCACGTCGGCGACTCGTATTAGTCCTTTTCGGGCAAAGCAGACGTTACATAGTTATAACACCACCCATTCACCCGTTTTGTTGCCGGTAAGTCAGAGAAATGAAAACGTTTTTGACGGCGTACGTGGAATAATAATAATAATAATAATGAAATATTGTATTCCGATTTGGAGAATATTATAATAATACACCTAACGTTAATAAGAGAAAAGTAAAACCGAGAGCGTGTCAAAAGCATATTATGATTATTTCGAAACTTATTATTATTGCAGCAGATGATTGTTTGACGTGCCGTCGTCGCTACGAAATCAGCGTGGTGACATTTTCAGACTTACCGATGCGATGAACGTTTTGTATATACAAACATTGTTTTTGCCTTGTACATTAAACGGGTTACCTACGTCAAACGAATTGTGTTTGTGTGTGATAATAGCGACGACGACCGTTGCCCGTTATGTTATATGCTCACGCCCACACACACACACACACACCAGCGCGTATTTGGGGCTTAGAATATAATATGAAAAAACAGCAACACAATATAATAATATTATAATGTAGGTGTTTACGATATCCTAGGTAAAGTCGGGCAAAAACATCGTTTGGTCTGATGACTGTATTGTTGTTGTATTCTAATGACGTTACCGGATAGTAATTATTATTATTATTATTATTATTACTATTTTTGTTGTAATCTAAAATAATATGCAGTGTCACCGACATCCGCTAGGCCTCATCGACGATAACGGCAGCAGCTGTGTTGTATGGTGTAATAACAACTAACAAACCGAAAAGTCCATTTTTTTTTCATACGAGCCGAGACCTGTCCACGACATTCATTATCATTTTTACAATAATGTTATTTTTTTGTAACTTCCATTTGAGTGAAACACAAAAAAAAAAAATGGACAATATTTTGACAATGTATCTAAGAGAGATATTGGTAGAAAATCTCCAATATAAAAATATGTTTTGGCGAATGTCATTAAATATAATCGCGTCCAAGCTAAAAAGAGTGACTTTCGTAGTTAAAGTTTAAATAGTTAGGTTAGGTTAGGCCCAGACTTGTTTATTGGGCGGATTTAAAAATGTGTACAATTAATTATTACTAAAAAGTTTTAAAATTCTCTATATCTGGGGCTAAGAGGAGGACTTTTGAATATTAAGTATAATCCCAGATTACACAACAATTAAAATGTTTTAAAACGTGTTGTAAATTTCAATATATTGGAAATATTTGTTTAAAACATTAAAATGTTTGTACTTTCTAGGTTAAATGAATCCAAACGAATGCGCTCGTGTTCTGTTTAACTCTGACCACAAGTCTACGAGTAGGATTTTTTAATTGAAATAAGTCGACCTCGTTTATAAAGAAATAACTATACCGGCGGACATTATGTTTTTTATTTTATAGCCGTAAATCATCGCCTCGGCGTTTTCTACACAGTTTTTGACAGACGTCGTCGGGTTATTATTTTGCGTGCGAATTCCTCGACACGGCTTTCGATAAATCGATTCGTCGACGTACCCGTAGAAATATACAGTTTATTTTCTTACCAGTGTAAGGTGTAAATGTGTATCGACAATTATAATTATTATTATTCCTCGTCTCCCAACGTTCTTCCCGTTCGTCTTTCACGCCCAAGTGATCTCCCAGAGGTGCCACTCGCTCTGTGTCTAATTGGTACACACAAATCGTTTAAACATCTTGTTAAATAAATCATAAAATTATTATTGTTATTTGTCTCGTGTCGATTTTAAATATTGTTGCCGTTTTGTTTGTTTGATTTTTGTTGTTTTTGTTGACCGTGCTGTAGTCAGACCGTTGCGGTCGTCGGGCTACCAATTTTCCGGCACCGACGCAATGGGCGGCACGCGGCTTGAGCATGCCCGCAGCGCGTCGACGGCTTAATAATAACAACACGGGGCTGGGGTTGAGTTTTACTGCCCCGCAGTGCCGCCACAGCCGCCGTTGTCGTCGGTCGAAACCCGCAGCCGCGATAACCGTCCGGCGTCGCAGCCACAACGGTCGCACGCACACACATGGGCGCCGGTCACTATGAAAAAGCATTCCAAACAGCTCGAGAAACGCATCGCCAATCAGCTGCGCGGCACAGACGACACACCGTCGGCAAAGAGACGTTCGTCGAAATGCTGCAAGAACGGTGGCATAGCGAAAAACGAATCGAGCCCGGAACTGTCGCGGCCGTCGTGCCGACGGTCCCGGCAGTACTTCCTGGAACCGATCCGCCGGTGGAATTCGTTTCACAACAGCCGGGAACGCAAGCCGGCAGCGACGACCACGGCGTCGTCCACCACAGCCACCGGCACGTCGACTACGACCGGCGGTAGTCTGCCGTACCTGCAGACCCTTGTCAATCTGCAGCGGGAGTCGCGGAGCGCGTGTGCTCGGCTTGCACAGTCCGTCCTGCCGAAAATACAAAGGGGCGCCGAGAGTGCCCCCGTGCTCACCGAGCTGCAGCATCGCAAATCTGCCGGTACCGTGTCAACGACCGCGGCCACTGCTGCCTCCGCTAGTAGTCCGGCCAAAAAACAACACTCCAGCCCCAATTTGTTGTTGGTGTACGACCGTCGACACGCTTCCAATCCGACGGGCGGCTCACCCCGGCGCTCCACGAGGCGGCCAAAAACGCCGCCGCACCAGCAACAGGCCGCCGCCGCCGCCGGCGACGATCCTCCGTCCGCTTCGAGTCAACTGTCCACAGCCGTCAAAGTGCCGTTCGCCATAATCGTAGGCGACACGACGGTAGTCAAAGACGCTGTCGTACCGCGGATCAGGGCGATCAGGGCGGATTCTATGACGGAGAAAACGTCACCATCGTATCTGGCCGTCGACGTGTCGCCCCAGCGGAGATACTCGTTTTGGTCAGTAGTCGGTTGATGAATGTGGGGGGGGGGAAACAAAAATTGACCCCCACTTATACGACTGAACTATTCGACGGAGTCGGTACCAAAGTCTGGATCGCGTGAACGTTCATTAAGTGTTTAATGAAATGTTAAACATTTATTGAAGTACACTAAGTAATATTACCCGCGATCGGCCCATTAAATTGTAATGCATCGTTAAATATGTCGTTTTTTTTTTTTGTGCAACTCTAGATAAAATTAAGTTAACACAATCGTGTTTTGTTACACTATTTCTCGTTCCTATATAATTTTAAATGTACAGATACAATATAGAAAACCTAAATTATTTACTTTGCCGTGGCTTTTGTTCGTACCATCGGTCCCACCTAAACGTTAGAGGTCTGCCAGTGCACGGTATTTTAGGAATAGCAACCACTTAAGTTTCTGTTTGACCGTAAAACTTACAACAAATAATAAATCACCCTTTTGGCCAATAGCCCTTCCGTGTTGGCAAAATAACCCTTTTAATGGGATCCGTCCCGACATCTCTAGACATTTGGATTTGGTACTTTTGAAACATGCTGTTTATAAATTATGCGCGTTTTTAATTTTAAAAACGCTGTTTTTATTGATCAAAATATGTTTGAAACGTCATTATTCTTTAGTCTGACGTGACTAACATGTATATTCAGGTAGGTGGTATTTTTTTTGCATGCTGTCTACCTAATAATCAAATTCAATCATAATATTAATGGACGGCGAGTTCGTAATGTACATTCGTCATTTTATTGACAAAATGAGGAACCCGGACTATAAAACAAATTTCATATGACGTTAGTACGAGTTACAACAACAACAACAAAAAACTAGCTTTGTTTTTTGTCATCATCAGGATTCCACTTTAAATCGTCTCGTTCAACGCGCTTAAAAAAAATATATATATTTATTATATTGTAAATATATTTACAGTGTTCCCCATAATAAGCTTTATAATATCATCGGTACTCATTATTGGATTAAAATTAACATAATACGATAGTAATAAGCAAAACCGAGATAAAAAGTAACGTTAGTTACGTATTAGATACTAAATAAAGTATATCATGGTATATAAATAAGTCAAACAATAGTAATAATAATATAAATGTATGAAAGACTTTTTACGGTTATAAAATTATGGTGAAGTCTGATACCAGCGTTGACAGTATAATGTCAGTACAAAAAATGCGTCGTCGACCTCAATACCATCATAATATTATAGATATATAATAATAATAATAATATTATTATTATATAGGTTCGGGACGACGTTGTATGGAAAAATCTTTTTTTGACAGCTATTAATTTATTCCTTATGTATTTTTTTGTACATACATTGTCACCGGTTAAGTGTCTTCGCGGAATTTGCTCGGCTTTCTTCTTTTTCGTTTACAACAATGTCATTATTATTATGGAGAACATCGCCGCGCGGCATCGTATTTGGTTATTATTAAATGTTATTTTTCTGAATTTTTTTTACCTCTTTATTTAAATGTGTCTATTATTCGAATTTTCCGTTAGGATTTGGCATACAGTTTATACACAACAATAGACGACAACGTTGCACTATTGCACTTAGTCAAGTTAATTTTTTTTCGTTACTCGACCGATAGATGACTTGGTCATTACTATCGCGTTTTTTTTTCGATCAACACGACGGCTAATGACGACACTTGTAGGCTGAAGTGTGTAATAACGAATTGTCACACTCCGGTCATTCGGAAGTGGCGGGGCAACAAATAGCAATAATTACTCCAAAGTTCCAATCATAAGTACAAGAGTACCCATGTAACATCGTGGCCAAAATTACATATTATATTTGTATAACAATAGATTTAATTAATACCTACCATTATACATACAAAGAAAGCAAAACGACTATTTAAAAATATATTTGTAAAATTACCCCGAAATTGACAATAACTGAGATATCAGCTTCTGCCATCCTACCATAAAACTACTTTAAACTATTTAAAAGAGAACGGATGTTCTCAAGAAAACTGCAATCGTGTTTTGGCCTTTGAGTTTTGACTAAGATAAATTATTACCATTAACTCTCGAGCACTTAAGAATTTCAAATAACACGTAAGACGTGTATATAGGTTAGCTTTGTGTTAATAGAAACACGCTTGCTACTTTCAATCACAAAAATGCGTAAGTTTCGCACAGTATCCCACAAGATCCTTTGGAAACCATAGTAGTGCTATATTATTTGTGAGTTTCATGCTATAAATCTTACATCAAACAAATATATATATATATGTGTGTGTGTATATATTTTTTTTTTCAAGTCGTTTTATTCTTTTGCGAATTTGCCTATTTTATATTGTATTATATTACCGCTGTGAGACATTTTCATTTGTCAGACTATAAAATTGTTTTCGTTGAAATGTAACGTATATCCATTTCTATACATTTAACAGTTTCTCTTTGACATTGTAGAGGGGCAAATCGGGGGAATCGTTTGCAGATTTTAATGTTCATTTTTTATGCATATATCAAACTATATGGACTTTGTTCAGAGAGAAATCATAATTAGGATGGAGTTAAAGAGATAAAAAAATGTATTTAATTATCATTGAAGCATCTTGCCGTTTTTATTTCTCATTCATAGTTTATTATACTGATAAGACATAATCGAGGAAAGATTTAACGTGCGGTCCGTAGTAAAACTGGATATTACATAAGTGAATTATGATTTTAATTATTTCAAAGATAATCTAATTTAGTTATTGTTTTGTTTACGGAGTTGGGCCAAATAATTAACGTCGGTTTCACTGATAACGGAGCGAAGTCTAACATTACAGTAGGGCATTATTATGCTTTACTAGCAATAACAGGGTTTATTAACATTACAAATTATAACCAACTCTGTTTAAAAAGCACCACTACTAAGTTACGTATTTTGTTGCTTGGGTGGGTTTTGGTCATCGTCGCCGTTGCCAAGTCCCAGACACAGTCGTACCGCCCCAGTCAACAATTTGTGCATCACTTTCTCATCGAACACCTGTTATGTGTTCGATGTCATTAATCAACTTTGTCTGTATATATTGTAAGTATGAAACTGAATGTACCAACAACACCCTGTTGCTGCGTGTTGGCGGTGGTGACCGTGTATTTTACTAATACCCGTGATTAAAAGTTACCCGCGTTACCGTTTCCACGAGGGTGTTTGTAGAAATTATGTCTCTTGGGCCCGACGGAGTGTCTGTCAAGGGCCGCATCTTCAAGATTAATGACATCCGAGGTCGTGCACTACCGTTGCCGTACTTAAACGGCTGTATGTACAAAATATATTAACTACCGTGTTCAAAACTATTATGTAAAACATACCATGTACGCGCACGAGTGACGCTTTTGTGTTTGTTATTGAATAACCGCGCCAGACGACCGCCGAACAAATTTTAAATTCTTATCCGGCGTCTGAGCTCGACTTAAAAACGGTTTAGTAATTTGTATAAAAAAAAAAAAGATAAAACCCTCGCCCAACATTTTACCGTGAATCAATATGGATGTTAGCTTGACGCGTTTATATGGTTCGCTTCGCCAACTTCCTCAAACACTTTTGTTCACGGTAAACACGTTAGTACAAATCCTGTTTTTCGGGATGCTCAGCCGGATAAAGTTTCCTACCCTTTGGGGACGTTCCAGGGGGTAAAAATCGATTCGGTTAAATAATTCGGATCTAATTTTTTATTTAAAAATGCCGTGAAAATATCAAGCAATAACAATTTTTTGTCTTAGGCCAAGTATGCCGTGTGTTTTTACCGCGCTATTTCGAATTCTCGTCACGGTCTAGGCACATTTAGAGTTAGAGTTTAGACACATTTAGATTTAGGGTTTACACACCGTTGGATTTGCTTACAAGATTTTTAAAACCCGCGTTGCTTATGGCCGGCCGAGGTGATGACTGTAATTGCGGTTAAGTTACTAGGTGTGCTATTTATATATCAGTGCACTCTACACTATATTGTAGTCACTGAAAGCAAGGGGTGGTACACGTATACTTAGGAAGGTGTACTGTGTATTTGACGGACGGTTTTATTTTTGGGTTGCGTCGTTTTTCACGAGCGTCACACCCCGTTCTCTTCGCGCTGGACGTTACCGGCTAATGGCCGTTGATTAATGAAATACAAATACACACACACACAAAGAGTACACTTAAGGTTTTTAAAAATTCGTTTTTCGTTCGGCCTTTGATGTTATTATTTTATGAAAATCTACTAAACAATCGCACAAAACGGTTGGCCCGGCTTCGTTTTACGACGAACCGTGTGGTAATTGTGATGAGACCCTGTTATAGAAGTCGCCGAGGAGAGGTAGGTGGTGTATCCGTAGTTTCTCCATACGGTTTACTTGTGTGTGTTGTACCCGTGACCTGAAAAGTTAGAGCTCCGCGTGTATGCGCCGTATTTCAAATCCCTCTCGGCACGGTCCATCCTCTCTCTTTGCACGTCCCAAGCCGTCGCCGTCCTTTTTACATAGCTGTACACAACACCGATGTGTGACATATAATATACATAATTGAGTTGGAATCCCTGCCGAATTTGGTTCTGTATAATATGACCTGCGGTGCGTTTCCACTGGTCCAGGTAAACGCGTTTTATGCCATATCATTCTATTTGTATACTTGTTTTTGCTCAACAACCTCAACTCTCTGTGGTCTTTTCTGTCTTTCGGGTCACGATTAAAAGTGCGTACAAAAACATAAATGGAAATTTTACATTTTTTTTTTTTGTACGTTGACAAAAATATTTTGTATATTCTGCTGGTGCACTACAGGTCTACGCTAATACGATTTAACAAACAAGGGACGATAGGGAATATATCCTCCCTATTAACTTTATTTTTTATGCAATATTTACAAATTGAATACTCTTTTATGTAATAACGTATAAAACATACGTGACAACTCACCAGAAGTATTACAAAGGCATTTAGACTACTAGTTTCGGCTCTTGGGCATCTTAGGGATGCTAAAAGAAATACATAAACAACTTAATTTATACGACATTCAATTCAAGCACATGTAGTAGTTAATAACTTAAACTTACCTATTATATGTGTCGTTAATATTGTAATTATGAGTTGTGTGCTTATCTTTTGTTTTTTGTTTTTTATAGTTTTGGAAAACGGACCGGAAGCAGCGCTCGACGACCTAACGAATGCTTCGTGTTGGAGCCATCGGAGATGCTGGTGGTAAGTGTTTTTTTTTTTAAAAATATTATATCATTAATACTTATTATAACCGTTGACTTGTTTCGCGTTACATCATCAGCCCAGGGGTCACGCTCACTCTATTCATTGTGTCGTTCCGGCCGTTCTGTTGTTGTTGTTGTGCTCGTATGAAATTCCTATATGTCACAAATTGTGTTTTTTCAGAGGGAATTCTTTTGGGTAATATGTTGTCGACAATTCGGAAGATACGGCAGGATTTATATATTGTCAATTATTTTTAAAAATGTCGCCTGAAAACATTCTTCTGTATAACATTCTTTCATATGGTGCCGTATATAAATATACATGGACATTGTGAAAATAAAATAAAATACACAACTTTGTAAAAACCCTTTGAAAATAGGTTACGTAAAAGTTACCAACACCAGTTATCTAAGTCAATAAGCTTTTGAACATTTTTTTTTTTTTGGGATACAAAATAAGATAATAAAATTAATTTGCATATATTTTCAGATATGCTTATTATTTTTAATGAATTTATTTCATGTAGGTAACACATGACCACCTATATTGTGTTCGTCCGTGTCGGATATGATTACGTTTTATGGTCGAGAGGGTTTTCTCCAATTTTTTTTTATGACCAAACTATTATAATATTCCACTTTCAACTGTCGTACACACTTGCGGTTTTTCTTTTAGCCTGCCAAAATTGAAAACCAACCCAAATATTATATAGTCGAAAATTGTTGTTTTCTTGCATTTTCTTTTATGAGTTTGGCCCATGGTTTATTTTAAATCCTTGCGGAAAATGGAAAACCAAAATAGTTTTTCCTGCCACGTGACGCCGTCCGTTGTCTTCTAAACTCTTCAACTTGAGGATATTTTAGACTGCACAAATATCTTGTGTAATTCATTTAAACGCAATTATCAACCCGCTAAACAGTTCTCAGTCTATACAAGTACTAGCATCAAAGTTTGGAAAAGAAATATTATATTTGTCTTCATTATTATATAATATTACTATTGTTTTGTTTACAGTTATATAACTAAGCGGCGTCCATTAACTTTTGACCTTTTAGAATCGCAGAAAATCAATTCGATTTTATTTTCCTCGTATTATTTTGCCCTTCAACACGCGTCTCCCGGTTTGTCAGATTTTACTTATTACAAAAATTGTTATTATTATGCATGAAAATCATTAGTATAATAGCGCTATAATTTTTTCGGTATGGTGTGAGTTAATTATTGTATAATTTATGTATTAAATTAATTGATTTCAATTAATAAAGTTATGTGATCATTTGTTATGTAATAACCCACATACAAAAATTACGCTGATAGGTCCATTTGAATTGAGTATAATAGACTGACCGTGAACTGTGCGTTTTTTTAAAAAATATTTTATCAAACGCGATAATGTTATTGTTTAACGAAATGAAAGTTGAAACTATTGTTTATGATGGTATTTTAATAGAACCATTTGCATATAATATTTATTCCGTTATTTTTAGCTCGATATAACAAATAGTATCTCGTCTGTTTTGAAAACAATATTGAAAGCCACCAAAAAAGTTTATAATTAAAATAAATAACTTTTCAGCTTCACGTCCAAGCTAAAATATCATCAATTACGTTTTTTTTTCACACTTAATCCGGTAGGTTGTAATAGAGTATAAGCAGTGACAACGCGACTTGCAACTAAAACCTTTATCGTTTTAATTAATCATAAAAATACACATAAAATGCATCTTGCATTTTTAATTCTCTATTCTCTCTGAAGTTAAAAAAACAACAATAAATTTAATGTTATGTTATTGCGTTGGTTTTGACTTTAACGAAAAATTAAGTACAGCGATAAAAAAAGATAATTCAAAACAACCCGTTTCCAACGCGCCACCGAAAATCAGCGTATCCTTTTTTTTAATTACTATTTTTATTTTATAAAACGCGGTTTAAAAAAAAATATGCTGTACATTTTGTTCTCCAAATAGATTTGAGGGAATTAGCTTTGGGTAGAGAGAAATGAAGCGAGCTTTGTCAGTGTGGTCTCCCTCGATGACAGGCCGTAAACTAGAAGAAGATACAAATATTTTCTATAAACTGTATAACTTACTCAGAATAAACCCATACCTAGGTACAAAATAATTTTTTTAAATAAAATGTAATCAATTAATCGATATAGTTAGTAATGAGTTGCTATATTAAACTACAATGCAGTTAAATTGAGTAAGAAAGTAAACATGTCAGTTATTCAGTACACTATTTATTATTTATCGTTGTTATGTAATCGCAAAAGTGGCAAAAATCTTTTTTCTTTGAAATTTAAACGTTTTAGAGCGAAAATATACTTCTGAAAAATTATATTTCATCAAGGAAAAAAACACGAATATTTAACGTCGTGTTCTGCTAAACTTTTGTGTTTACCGACTTTTAATGGAAAAAGATTAATTTTTTTACCGTCTCCGCAGTTTTAGCGGAGATTTTCGTTAAAAAAAAACGCCTCTTAAAAGTTTTTTCTATTCTTTTTTTTTTGAACTTAGCCGAGTGAAAGTCGGTCGAATTATTTATTTAAGTAGTAGTTTTTTTAAAAGTTTATAGTATTAACGAACTTCCGTTAACGTCGGAATTTCTTAAACCGTTCATGACCCGGTTGACCTAAATAATTATTTTATATTTGACATAATATTGTTTCAATCAAGAGATTTCCATATTTACTTTAGCTTTTCGGCGTTATGCGTTCGATAAAAATCGAATTTGTGTAAAAAAGTAACCTACACACATATAAAATATACACTATTTTACGAGTTGAAAACATTTGTGATAATAATACCACGAACCTGAACATAGCACGACTTATCATATCCACGTGTATGACTCATCGGCGTGCGACTACCATCAACAACGGTTATTATTTATAAATTATTAAAAAAAAAATGTGATGATTTGTCTTATGAAAGATACCTTCGTCGTGATTCATACGCAACACACAATAAAATGTCAGTCGTACTTCCGATTTTTTGTTAGGACGTGTATTGTAATTTTTGAACATTTAAAAAATTCCAAATTATAATGGTCGTTTTAATTATAATTATGCTAGAAAAAACTTAAGCATTTATGATTATATGTAATGAAATAATAATAAAAACCCTTAACCATAAAAATTATACACTCTCAGCGAATACGTCGTATTTTGGCAACAATGTTGTCATCTTCAGCGCTGACGACAGTCATTTTATAATTATGCTATTATTTCTGCTACAACCGACTACTACGGCAAATGAGTTAGGAAAGAGACGGCAAACGTGACGATTGCCAACAGCTGATTACAATTTTTCCTGTACAACTAATACATATTATATTATGGTGCGCCTGTTGTTGCCTGTAGACCATTAACAGCTGTTTTCACACCGTATACTTGTATTACTATTATCTTGTCTAAAGTTCAATGACTCTTGATTTTGGAATTTAGAGTAACGACTGACATTATTACTTGTGATGATTGGATTTTTTTTAACGACTTCGACGTGTTGCTCGAATAAGCATTATTAATTATGTTGGTATGTTCTTTGGTCGGCGTTCTCCTTTCTCCGGTCCGAAAATATGGCATATTCGAGTATAACATACATGCGGGTTAGGCTGTGATGTAATAATCTGAACATTTCTCATTCAATATGGTAGCATATAAAGTATCGTTTTGCCACACTACATAATATGTAAATACACACGAGCATGACAGCTGCCGGTGGTCGATTTTTTTGCACTGTACAATCGCTGTCGCTCTTTCTCCCTATATCTATGAGAGTATACTGTATAAGTATGCATTTTTCCACTTAGAAAGTAGACGGTGACCGCTATTTGTTAGTTGTTTACTCGGTTGACGAGAGTCGGGCCTATTGTGTCTGCAGTGAGTCTGAAATGAGAAAAATGTCCTCGATGAGCAGCAGTACACAATGCAGTTCATCAATATGAGCAGTTATAGCACGAGCGATTACTATTTTTATCCCTCCGAATGTTTCCGAGTATAATAGCTGCCACCTCCGCTGTCGTATGCACTATTAGAATATTAAAAAGTAACTCTCCACGTATGCAGTGTGTACTCTGTAACGGAAAAGCCGATGTAAAAAAAAAAAAAAATGAAGAAGATAAATATACGAGAAGAGAAGGTTAAGCACAATATTGATCCGGCGACGGAGGAGAACGCACGCCACCATTATAGAGCAGTAGCAGCGACGGCGGCGGCGGAGGACACCCACGCATCGCTCTCGTATATACACTAAACCCACCCCTCCACTAACTGGGTAGTCGGAACGACGTCACTCGCTCTTTCCTCCCCTCCTCGTCCCCACTACCTCTTCCCAGTTGTTGTACGATTTACGTCCCGTCCCCTATGCCAATGTTTTTCGGTTGTTATATTGTGTACACGATTGACTCCCACTGCCTTTTTTTTTTTTTTTTATATTGTATTTCTATGTGTTCTCTATACACATGTGTGTTTATATAAAAAATATCAGTACAATAACGTTGGAGTAAATGCGACCGCAACGGTGGTGGTTACTGCCGACGGACGAGGAGAGAGGAAGCGCAAAGCGCAACAGGGGCGCGTGTCGGTTGTCATTATTGCCCAAAAAAACCTTATAATATTAAATTATATTATATATATATATAGTACATCGTTACGATGTTTTTTCAATGATTCATGAATGATTTAAAATTCTCCTTTAAAATATAATAATACAAAAATATTACTAGACTGTATCATTAATTTATGCTTTTCGCCGCAAATTGAAGAAACGATAACCTTGATTAATATACATATTATAAATTTTTTTTTTTTTTTTTTACAATAGTTGTTTTCTTCCTACGCCATTTGTCGTCAAATTAAAACGCTATTTGTCGTTTTTGTATTTTAAAAAAAGTCAATTCAATTATCAACATTGTTTGACAGATAAAAATATATAATATTATCATATTCATTTCAGTTTTGTAATGAAAAATAAAAACATTAATGAGGTCGTGATAAA